CATACCCATATTTGAAAGTTCTGAGAAGTTTGTTTGCTAAATGTTTTAGCAGTTGAATGTTGACGCCTCATTAAACATATTGTTAATGTTGTTCATTACATTTTCCTGGAAGGCCTGTCCACTTATTATAGAGAGTTCATCTTCATGATTGGCAGCAAAGGATTGCCCTCCTATAGCTTAGTATTATTTCCTCAAGTCATTCCTAAGAGATCCTTAGTGAGTAATATCAGTTCTTTATAGCTAGTCGAGTTTTTACTTTATTCTATTGGTGAGTTCTATACTGATATTGTTATTAGCTCCTCCTGAATACATATTAGTTGAACTATTTTATCCGTTATAGCTATATTGTCCCTAGCCTAAGTAGGAATTCTATTTAGAACTAACGCCAAAATTAGCGTTTGGTTTGTAAGAGTAAAAACTAGGCATTTTCGAGTTTTCTCTTCTCAAGGCATCATCATTTCGTTGATACATTTTTTATACATTATCTATATAACCGTCTCCACCTTTATTTGGGTCTTCTGGATTCCCCTTCGCTCTAGATTTACCTTCAATTTCCTCTGCTGTTTCATCTGGTATCTCACTTATATCCTCTGGGATGTCAAAATCATAAGCTTTATCCATAAGAGACCCATGCAAAAATGCACGAGTCAATGGATCCTTTTTTGGCTTGGCAAGGAACAAACCCATCCTAAATCTAAACTTGATATCTCCCATTGAGTCAGGATGTTTGCCATCAAGAAGTTTGTCTATTTTATCTATGGTAATGATGTTCGGTACATGTCTAACTTCATCATTGTACTTAGTTAAGTAGATGTCGAGTTAGTAATTGTAATAATCTCTTAAGATCTTAAGCATACACTCATAGATTCTATCTTTTTTCATCACAGTTCTTACCATGTACGAGTGAATAAACTGATCTACCTTCTCGACAGGCACATACATACGATGATAAGCTGAGATATGTCTCTTTAATTCCAAGAAATTTCTTCTCACGTTATTGATATAGACAAATGAGTACTTCTCGTGAATATTATGCTGAGTGATATTGATGTAGAAATGATAAAAGCCATATTGATCCAGCCTTGATTGCTCACTCCTTGGTCTAACATAACTAGTCATTGTATCTGAGATAATAGCACCTCCAATAGCAAGATGCTTACGAATGATTTTTACTAGAGTGGGATGCTTCCTATCTGGGATGTAATAAAATATAGGTATGCCAGTTGATCTACACAGCATACCAAAGACTCTGTTAATTTTTCTAGCAAATACTGTACATTTAGAGAGTTTTTGACGACCCAGTCTTGTTTCATCAATTTCAACAGGACCAGGTAACTTTATATAAGGCAACATTTTAGTCTTAACGAATAGAGAGCATGTTTTTCTTATCAATTAGAAGTTCTTAATAACCTAGTTTCTATCCCTGACTATATTTTGAGCGAGTCTGGGCCAAACATTATCAATCCACAAATATATGGAAATGTCAAACATCTTAATATCTAAATAGCACAGAGGGGTGTTCATAGTAATACCTTTACTGATACCACATCTTCCACATTGCCAAATCAACTGAGATCTAGACTCAGCATTTCTAACTAGAAGCATAGGGCAAGTGCAAAATGGGCAATCACGTCTTTTGTGAATAAGTCCAAAGCGAGCATAATCTCTAGCAACGTCTACAATGTCTCGTTCATATCTATCATCCATCTCAAAGCTCAAAGTTATAGTCGGTATGTTTCAAAAGATTTGAATATTCTAATTATTAGCTTAAAATTTAAATAATTACCTACTACATTTCATGTTATGTATAGATTCACTAATGTTTCCTTATTCTATCTTTATCAATTTTTCATTGTAATCCATTTATTACTCCGATATATTATTCACAGTTGACATGTCATACTT